CTGTTCAAAGATGTCTATGGGGAGTGGAACAAAATAGCAGATATGTGGTGGAATAAATCTATGTACAAATATCTAAATATTGTCTTTGAAATTCACTTAAAAACAGAAGGAACTTTTGTTCAAAACCAATAATCATATTTATACACGGTTTCGTTCACTCTAGTGCAGTGTTTAATGCAAGTGTGACGATGTCACAGCACTAGATATTGTTGTCTTCGTCCAAGAAATATTCACATTGAATAAAACATCATTTTTATTAGGCCTTCGTTTCTGCTTAACATTACGTTTGTCATTTGACGATACATTATTGAAGATGTAATGTATGACAATTGATGAAATCCGCTAGTGTTAGTCATTCGTACACTTTGTACCAGATAAAAATACTGTTTGCATTAATCATTCCGGTGGGAATTTTTTACCCCATCAAACGTGCAGGTGATATTTATATAGGTTTAATAAACGTGAAACAAAATAATCGTACCGCAAAGAAATGGGTTGGCGCATAATTTATCAAGCGTTTTAGTAGGCGAGTTAATAAAAATTTATTTTTACTAAAAATATTATTTTATTTTTAGGTTATAAAAATGCGTGTCGATAATCATACTCATTTAAAATGTTATTGTTGAATTGTTATGTTTCTTTTTTCATAATAAATATTATTTAAAAAACGCCTGATAATTATGCACCAGACCAATATTTGAAAACTCATGAGCTTGCCTTACCAAACAAGTATTGTGCGTTGGGCGGTAGCAGGGCGGGTGGGGGTTCAATGAAAGAAAAATTTTAACGCGCCGTCACTTTCATTTCGTACACAGGAGGGTTTATAAAAGAATTATAATGATATTTATCTTGGAGAATTAATATCTAAACAAGAAAGTATTCCGGTTTTTTAAACGAAATTATTTCACATTAAGTATCGTATAATATTCAACAGGTTGACATCCGAAGTTAAATTTTTGTTCTCTTGTGTTCAATTAAGCTAAACATGCAACCTTGTTAGCTGTGAATCTTTAATTTTGTGTTCTTTCATTTTGCATCTGAGGTCGTCGTACTGGCATTACACGTTTTGATATAAGGTACGCACTTGGTGGGGGGGTGCAACTTTGGGAAATTCCGAGTGGGAGAAAAAAGAAGCTGATCGTAAGCTTCCACTTCTTTGCTATTATAAAATACAAATATATAAGAATTATCAAATCTATCTCTGTTTTTTAACGTTGGCGATTATTTTATTCAAAGATAAAATTTATATTACCACATGTATTTTCCAAATGAAAATAAAAAACAAAACAAAAACAAAAAAAAAACAATCTAGTCTGGTAAACGGGGGCTTGAATATTTTCAATAATTAGTTTAAAAAATATCTAAAAGAAAATTACAGGGTTATTCTGTCATCTAACTGAGAAAGAAAACTGTTATGGATATTACTTATTTGTAGCAAAAGGAACGTTATTAAAAGCATAAGTTTTTGATAATATTTCTGTCGTTTCCAAAATATTTCTTGCTTTTTGGGGATATTCTGCTATTAATAGTAGCAGCATCATTAGTAGTAGTAGTAGTAGTAGATGCAATAATACCACCGCCACTACCTTCATAATTTCTGAATTTATTTGATTTCATAAGAGCGTAAAAACAGTTCTGTGTTTTTTCAAAAGTAATATTCATCTCAAGAGTTAGTTCTTTGGCCGTTACCACTGAGAGCAAAGATTTATGATTCTAGCACTTTTCTTATATATTAAACTTTTGGCGGCTTGTCAACCCTTTGTGGGTTATTTAAAGTCGAAATATATTGTAAGAATAATTTTTTTAGCGAGTGAATATTGCATTAACAATTTATTGAAAATAACAATGATTTTTCCAGGTGCAAGTTTAACCCATATCTGGGAGAGGAGATGGATTCATACCTTTCCCAAGGCTAGTTGTGTATAAGCAAAAAAGCCGACTGGAATTCGAATTCGGTTCTCAGAATTTCCATTCTGAGCCGCTATCCATTCCACCACCTGCACAGCTACCTAACGTACTAAAAGCTATGGGTTTAACAGTATGTAACGGCGGTAATGTTAGTTGGCGTAACTAAAACTCAACGTCATGAAATTGCCCAGGTCGTCATCAGTTGTACTCTGACATCTGGTGAATCAATGTAAACTGCGACTAGGCTGTTCATGTCAAGGTGACGAGAATCATCTGAATTCGAACGGGGAATGATAGTGAGTGCCAGACCAGTGGGAAATTCCATTTGTGAAAATGTAGGAATATTTAAAATATCTTAGTCTTCGATGAATACCTGACAGAAGACATTACTACCCATTGCTAAGCCCTCATTTTGTCGATATATGTGTGATCCCATTCCGAAGTGTGTTTGTGTACAGAAAGTCAACCTCTCCATTAGATTATCTATTGGAATACTGGTCCGTTCTTCTAGGGAAGAGTCAGAGGCCAATCTATCTCTGAGTAACAAATAGTAACAAATAAACTTTTAAAAAATAAAAAATAAAAATAATAGCAATTTTTAGCTATCATAATTTTACACAGAATACCTATTATCAGGATTTATACCAAAATAAATAAATATATGAAACAAAATAAAATAAAACATCAACAATCACTTTTTAGTTCAAGCTAGCACCACAATAATTACATTTATTGTTTTTATCATTCTCCCACCACCATTACTAATCACTTCTACCAATTTACAACAACTATTAGCTACTTATATTATCATTGTCTCCAATCCCTTACAACATTACTATCATATCTACTATTATCGTATAAACCCGCTATAATTATTAACGTAAACACCCCCTCCCCCAGCATATTTAATACCACCATAAAAATAACCAATAAGGATTACAAACCGAAATTTCTACCAGTAACATATACACAGTCAGCAAAAACAAGCAAATAACCAGCTTTAAAATAATAACAAATAAACTTTTAAAAAATTAAAAATAAAAATAATAATAGCAATTTTTACCTATCATAATTTTACACAGACCCCACCACACGTATATACGTGCATGCGAGGAAATATTATTCAGCGAAAAAATAGAAAAATGCTCTGATTGCTGACATGTATACATTAACGAGACATTCACGAGAAATTTTCGCTACACTTCCGATCTTTGAATTTCAACATACATACATACATGCGTATGTATAGACGCAATACCACATATATACATACATATGTCAAATCACATACTGTCCACATATGTTTATATCTGTATGAGCCCCGGCGGACGAGCGAGTGTGTATGCGTACCTCAACGGGTGTACGGATATGCATCTATGTTTGCGTTAGCACGATGACATCACGACGACGATTCCACCCACTCCCATAATAACACCAATACACGCAATCTACATAAAACCAAAATTTTTAAAAAATTAATCAGTTTGTCTGCCGATCGCAAAAGCGTGAAACCAAGGGTCATAAACTCACATCAATACAACCATATATATATATGACATGTTATCTGAGTAAAATTAGAAAATTTAAAGTTAAATGAATCTGATTTGAAATAAATATTACTTACTTATAGCATAAAAAAGTAATATACAAGAATTTATTAATGATTGGTCCTGTTTATCGGAGGCGATAACAGACGGACGATTGAGGGACAAAACTATAACAGCTAGTATGGCTAACCAGAATTGACATAAATTTACGAAATCAAAGTGAAGACATTTTTTTTCGTTTTTAGCTACCTAGTAATTTTTACAAATTAACCTATTTTCAGCAGTTATCTAATATTTTATTGATTTTTGTTTACGTTTGAAGATGGTTTATGAAAAAAAATAAGATAAATTGAACTACTATAAAATTTTCTACAATTAATTTTAAAATATAATATCAGATGAAATTAAAATAAAGATAAGTAAGCAACAAAATTAACACAGTGACATGGATTTTCTTTTATAATAATTAAAATATTGTTTAATCATTAATAGTTAATAAATTTTAATTAACATTAGCTAAAAACATTTTTCCATTTTCTTCAATCCAAGCACGTGAATTTTCATAATATGTTTAGGCTATCATAGATGAAAAAAGGGGAACAATTAAAGTGAAAAAATAAAAAACGAAAAATAATTTTAAAAATAGAATAGTAAAACGACGTTTATTAACTTTTTCAATATTGGATTCGTAAATTTCGTTTCCACTTAATTACATCCAGGAAATTACAACATTTTGATCTTTGATCTATTATAAATTATTATAATTAAAAATTAAAAAACCAATGAAAAAATTCTTGTAAAAATTCATTATTCATCGGAAAAATTTTATTTCTTCAGACAATAGTGTCCTTAATAAATAGACAATAGTGTCTATCTACAAAAGCAATTAAAAGTTTTCTAATTAAATAATTTTAATAGTTTTATTGCATTTATTATTTTTCAATTCAGGGCAGATTTTCAGTTAGAATAGTGAAAGTTGGAAAAAAAATGATGATTTACATTCTCCAACAGCCCTACTTTTAACGAATAAAAAAATTTCCGGAAATAAAAAGGTAATAACATATGTAAGAAAAATATGGGGAATAACATATGTAAGAAAAATATTTTTTCCCAAAATTTTCTAAAAAAAAAATTTCAAAAATAATTTCATTCATTTGTGAATAAGTTCTGAGAATTTCATTAAAATCTGACAATTATTTGATTTTTACAAGAATTTCCAAATCAATGTTTTCAAGGAAAAAAAAAAAAAAGAAAAAAAAAGCGCAATAAGTTAATGTAATTATTATGCCACCCTGATGACGTAAACAAAACAAAATTTAACCAAAATTTTGAACGTGTTAGAAAGGATTAAAAAATTTCAAACAATAATCAAAAAATACTTTGGTCTTTATCTTAATAATTTTTGACAATAAAACTTTATTTTTATTAAGTTTGTGGCCTTTTTCATTACGCTATGCTGTTTTTCTGCGAAAAATGGAGGTACCTATATAAATCCGATTATCGTTGTTATCATAAATTAAGGTGTAATAAAAAATATTATTAGCTTACGGCCACATTCCGTTGAAACATCGGATCTCGTACAAACACCGAATTTAAGCAACGTCGAGCCTGGTCAGTACCTAGATGGGTGATCGCTTGGTAAACATGGAAATGGAATTCGGTGATCCGAATCACAATTCCAGTCTGGTTCATTATATTCACTTACACGTAAATACTCTTGGGAAAAACATGAATTCACCGCTTCTCCTCCCAGCTATGGGTTAATTATTAGGACCTGTAATAGTAAATGATTATTATCGCCAAAAAATCTTACAGTCTAAAAATATTTCTTGAATTTAAATAACCTGCGAAAGGTTGATGAGCCATAATAAACAAACCAACCAATCAAAAAGCAACAGCCAGACATTGGTACAGTGTAACCCGGATGTAAGAGAAACCCGGATGTAAGAGAAACCCGGATGTAAGAGAGATTTTCTCTGGTCTCAAATTAGAGCCCATACTTACCTAAACAAAATAGACCAAACCCGGATATAAGAGAAACCCGGATATAAGAGACTTCTTCTCCGGTCCCGACAACTCTCTTATATCCGGGTTACACTGTAGTAGCAACAGCCTTTGGTGGCGAATAAATCATCACTCTGCTTTGTATAAGATATAGAGAGGATGGGGAGAGGATTAGATGTATCCTATAAAAGCTAGTAGCTAATATCAGAAGACAAGACCTGGCCTAAAACCTCCAAGGTAAATGATTGTGAAGCTGATTAAAAAATTCCTGGGACAAGTACTCTGAAGCGGGCACTAAAACACTTGGTATATTTTCTGGTTTAAATAATCTCCAAGGGGTCGTAAAAAAGGAATCAATCAATCAATCACAACATTTTTATTAGTTTCAGATTTTATTATTGTCATACCGTATTTTTCTGTTACTTCTTTCTATTCTTAAATCATTTTCTATTTTTAATTCTCTGCTCCCCGTTCCTTCCTTAATTGTTCTTTGATCATTCATTCATTTTTCGTTTTCCTTCGAGTTTCTATGATTTCTGATGAAATACAACCACAGAAGGCTATGACTCAAATAGCACCAACTGACTGACTCGATGAATTCAGACAAAATGAATTTGACAACTGTAAAAACTGGTTCAGCTAGTTTGATACACACATTTTCATTCGTTTACAAGAAGATAGATCCTGAACCTAGTTGTGGCAAGGAAGACGTAAATATTTATATAATAAAAAATAGGAAACTACAAGAGAAACACCGGATTAAAATGTTTTTGTTTCAGGACGTCTAATAACTAAACAAAAGTTTTGCTGAAATAAAAATATACGAAATTTTCTTTCTTAAAATGAACAAGGAATTTAAACACTGGAGCTAATACGTTCGTTGAGCGTGTCATAAATAATATTTAAAACGTTGTACAAAATGCTTGAAGTAATTTCAATAGAGATTAAACTTTGTATCCAACGCTAAACTAATACGCAGTTTTTAAAAGGATGACTTATTTTATAACGTCATAGGTTAATTTCATATCCTTCCTAATTTACAAAATTAGATTTCAAAATGAATGATACAAAACTTCTTTCCCTTGATAAATTTGTCTTGTTATCTTACCTAAAAATTGTTCCGCTATACATTTAATCAATCTCGCTAAGTTTGTTATGCGTTGTTTTCCTCTCTTCATCTTCTGTGAGTATCAAATTTCCCAAGCCCTCTTTCCTCATTATCTTCCCAGAAATGTCAACTGTCTCTATCTGATCTTATGTATAAGTGTCCTTTTTGTTTCCATTTTCCTTAAAACTTCATCATAGCTCAAATGTTCGGTCCATAATATTCTCAACACCCTTCTGTAGAACCACACTTATGTTGTTTCAAATCTCTTCTTTATCTGTGAGAATATTGTCCCGCATCCACTGCCATATAGGAGGAGTGATGTTAAATAACAGTTCAGTCCAATGGAATTCACATTCGGAACTGTTCGCTAACAGGCTAACAAATTGGCCCAAAATGTATGAGGAACATATCTATATGTAATCGTACAACTCTCTCCCTGGTCGTCCAAAACTTCCAACACAGGGGCTGATCGATGAAGATCACTTCGATCTCAGACCTGCCCTATCTCACGTTGTGATTTAAGTTTGATCATAAGGAGGCCAAGACCGAATCATCACAGGTATCTTCGTGCTTGGCGGGTCCAAGCAAGACGAAGACGTACAGGGGAAAAAAAACAAACAAACAAAAAAAACAAACTCGAATAAATTGAACAGAAGTAAATACTGTTTTTATATCAGTCCTTCGTACAATAATTGGTTTATATTAGAGTTCGCATGCAATTAATTATCAGCACAACCCGCATCTAAATTTGTCTCTTCTGCCAAATTCGCTTCGCGCATTCGTATTTATGGACATTCGCCCAAATTGGCATGGAGGGTATGGTGAGGTAGGAGCGTTTCGGTGAATCCCTCCTCCCCCCCGGCTTACGTCATAACTTTGGGGAATTCCTTCCCTCCACCTCCCTTTCATTATACCCTTTCACCGAATCCACCCCCTCCTGCTATTCCAACTCAACTTTCGACCAGGGTAATTAACTCCAAATTCGTTGTTTACGAAAAATGATATTTTCGCTTTATAGCTTGCTTTTTCAGCTGCGTAGAACACATGTCAATCATCATTGCCCCCTAAATCTGGCTCACTTTTCCTTTGTTCAAACTGCTCGAAATACAATTCAAGTCATTTATGTATGAATTAAATCCTCAATTCTCCCCACGGGTTTTCGGTATTAACCCTTCTAGTTTCAATGTCTCTCAGTACATAACACTTTCTTATGATTTAACAAAACTTCCTTCCATTTTATCGCAGCAACGACAAATAATATCACATATATACGCACAATATAAAGCATGAAATATAACGCACTTATAGCGCAAAGATTAGCAAACAAAACAATTAGTTCATCTAATAAGTCCGATAATCATTTCTTCTTCTTCTTGTATGTGTCGTCTCCCTTCACGACGTTGGTGATCATGATTCTCCACAACTTCCTATGCTTTGTAACGCTTAGTATTTCCACACTCCCTTTTCTCTCGTCCATTTACACGAGCTTGTTAAGTTACTCTCGCTTTCTCTCTGTCCTTCTTGATTTCAATAATTCCTGTGAGCGTCAAATTCTCTAAACTCAGGCTTACGGCCATATCACCTTGAAGCACTGGTTCTAATCCGATCCCCGAAGTTAAGCAACGTTGAATCTGGACAGTACCTAGATGGGTGACCGCTGGCTGCGGATTACCAAGTTCTGTAACCTTTGTTGTGCGGATGGTGTTCCCGTAGATCACCGAAGTTAAGCAACGTTGAATCTGGCCAGTACCTAGATGGGTGACCACTGGGGAATACTAGGTGCTGTAAGCTTGGATGTGTGGGTGGTGTAATGGATAAAGACTTAGAATGAGAAATCAGAGAGTCGAGTTCTTATTCTAGTAGGGTTCGTTATATTCACTTACGTGCAAAGATATGAATCAACCACTTCTCCTTCTAGATATGGGTTAAATAGTAAGACTTGTATCAGAAAATCATCATTATCCCCCCAATTTCTTACAATCCAAAAATATGATTCGGTTTTAAATAAAAGTCGATAAACTTTAAAAACCAAATCAATCAACAATATCCAAACTCTATATATGTCCTAAAGATTTAAATTCTTTCTTTCTGGTTTTAAGCACAAGTATTCATTTTGTTTCCATTTTCCTTAAAATGTCATCGTTCCTCACAAGTATGATCGATGGTATTCCCTATTGCCTCAATTCTCCTTTTCATCTTTGAGGAAATTGTCCAGTATTCAATGCTATATAGAAGGATTAATATTACATAGCAGTTCAGAACTCTTTTCTTCGTTTCTATAACATTTTCCTCTTTCTTAATAATTTATTTACATTTGGAAGGCATCGTCCATTATTCCAATGCGCCTTCGGATTTTGGTGTCACATAGGCACCCCATTTCTGTGTAATTGCACCAGACTAGACTAACCATGGTAAATAGGTTAGAGGTACTTTGATTTTGAGTAATAGTTGAAAAGTTAGTCAGAACATTATTACTGCTAAGGGTCTCTTGTACTTCTGGCATTGTGTATTTTAACTTAGTAAATATTATAAATCACCTATGCAGAGGCAAGCAACTTCGTTTTCACAAGTCATTACTATTGTTGTAAATTTGATCCTGACTGGGAATTCGATACACTTTCGATTGACAAAACTAAGCTTATCATGGGTGCTTGGCTGTAAATTAGATGCTAGAAAGAAAGCCTTGAAAGTTATTACTGCTGTAGTTTGTTTGATTTTCACTGGACGCTTTATCAAGTAAAATTTATCCTTAAATATAGATCACCATAGTGTAGTGTTTACATGATAATCATCAAATTTATCATCATCATTGACTGTTGATTTCTTTGAATGTTTTTATTGTGGGCTTATTAAAGTCTTTTTTCTTTGAGTGTCACCTTGCATTAGAATTATAACTTCTCACAGAAATATTTATACCACAGAGTACATTAATTAATTCAAACATTTGATTAATTACTTTAGGCACTTTGGAAAGAACATCTATTACATTTTAAGTTAATATTTTATGCAGATTATTTAATTTTCAATTTAGCATAAAAGTAACTATTATAAACAATCCGTTTTTAAAATTCTCTTTACTGGTCCGTACATCGATGGGTGACCCATTTGAATGCTAGGTATTGTAAGCTTGGGTGTGAGGGTGGTGTAATGGATAACAGCACGGAATTGTTAATTGGAGAGCCGAGTTGGATTCGTTATATTTAGTTACGTGCAAATATCCTTTGGAAAGGTATGAACCCACCTCTTCACCCTTCCACAGCTATGGCTTAATTAGTAAGATTTATATCACTAAATCATTATTATCATCAAAATAAAAAAGAAAAATCTTACTATCTAAACAAAAGTATTTTTGGCTTTAAATAAACTGCAAAGGGTTGATAAACCGTAGAATCAACCAATAAAATTATTTTTAAATATCTTCATGACATTTTACTGATTCCCTCCATTGATAAAGAAAACATTCAGTGAGATTAAATATTGCAATAATTGATGAGGAATAATTTTTGATGGGAATTCTCCTCGTAGATTCCAGCTGAGACAGCAGCAATTTCAATTCTTCTTCAAATCGCCATTCCATTCAATCCTGATTCTATTTCTTTTTGCCGTCTTCCAAATGCTCCTATTATTATAAGCACAAACTCAACCTTCATGATCTACTGTTTTCCCAGTTCCACAACAGAACTTTATTTTTCGGTTTACGACAACCAGAGCCATGCCTGGGTGAATTAGGTGATCTGGATTTTAAACTTACAGAATATTTGACACTTTTTATTTTATTATTCGTTTTTTTTTTTGTTGAGTCACGGTTCTTTTAATATTTCTCTTTTTGTTCTTCTTTGATTATGATGATGATGATGATGATGATGATGATGATGATGATGATGAAAGTTTTTGTTATCAGTTACTGCGATAAACACATATATTCCCGAAATCAATTTTGAATTGTCTCACTTGAAATTTGCCTTTCATGCCATAGGAAAATATTGAGTCAATCTTTAACTTAAAAAAATGGCCGTTTTCTTTTCGTTTCATTCGCAGTTAAGCTCTTAGATTTATCGAAAAATTAGTTCCTAACAGTGATATATTTTAAAGAACTAACATATTGTCAATTTCCTTAAGAATTTGATTAATCATTTTGCTATTTTTAGTTTCCGGTGCGTGTGAAAATTCAAAAAACCTCAAATGCTATTTTTAGTATTATTCTTCAAACTGCGCAGGTGTTGACAATTATTTCCGGTGTAAGAATATGGAACAGAAATTTAACTATGAATTATTTTATCATCTTTCCATTAGAAATCAAGAGTTTAAATGATAAATGTGATTATATTAGAAGTAAACAAAAATGTATAAACATGTCTTGTAGTATAATTCAGAGGATTTTCATGCACGGTTCAGTTTTTCTATCATGTTGGATATGATGCGTCGCTGGTGCATCCGTGTTGTCAACAATGGTCAAATAAACATCTTGCACTCATAGACAAAGTTTTGGACGACCACTTAGTACAGACGTTTACCAAGATCGTTGAATTGTAATGGCAATGGCAGAGCGGATATTATCCACAACAAACATGGTCCCAATAATGTGAACACAAACAATTTTATTTCCGGCAAGAGGAAGGCACTTACGCAACAACACCAATGTGCCCATCTCCAGTGGATTTTCAAAAAGGCCCCCCCACCCGGGAGATCAAAATGCGTTCCGTAGTGTTCAATCGGTAGCTTCTGCTTTCATGCAAGTGATGGTCATCGGTATAAGTAAGGTAGACCTGGAGAATAAAATCTTCCAGAGCATTCACCCAGAAACCCAACATAATTGAACATCTTGTCGAGCGAGGGCTTCATGTAGACTAGCCTTAGGTTGCTGGAACAATACATTGCATTTCTATTGCTGGAATACTAGCAGAACGCACATGTCGATGTTTAACACTTCCTCCACGGATACAAGAGGCGGTCGAGAGTCGTAACTTATAGCACCAACACTATAATGCCAAGTTGTGTATCTGCTTGTGCGTCGTAGGCAAATACACAATTGGTTTGCCGTGTCAACTGCATTTTTTAATGGAAGTCCATTAGGTCATCAGATAGACTTACTGTGTATTATAAAATAACACTGAAATATCGGTTGTATTAATGCAGAGTCAATGATTACTGATGATCGGTAGTCATCTACATAAATTTAAACTTGTAGGCCGGTCGACATTAAATTTCCTGTTTTAAAACAACAGAGATATCTATCCTATATACGTGTACCCACTGAATTTAACATTTATAGTAATAATAAATATATATATTTTAGGCAATAAAAATTAATCAAAATAAGTTTTGTAAAATTCAACCGAGTCAGCATAATTTTTTATTGATTTTTTTTCATTTGTCTAATGTTTTACACCAGAGCAAAATATTTATTGTTTTATGGTTTCTGTGTGGAATTCCTTTGTCTGCATCCTAGTATTTGTTCCCAATGGCAGTTACAGGTGATGTCAGGATAGACCATTTGAAACGTACAGCGTACAAAGTACTTGAACAAAAATAACAAAATATGAACTTATCCTTATCTAATATATAAAGTGTATATATATATATATATATATATATATATATATATATATATATGGCTATTTACACTATTTTTACATTGTTCGGACTGTTGTCCTCATCTTTATTGTCATATTCACGGCGTTTCGGCAGTTGTACGCTTCGGCGTTAAGTATAATTGAATCAAAAGCTTAATTGCACTGCCTTGCCAGTCGTCTTTAATGAAACTAGAATCATCACCTACTTGCTGTTGTTCCCAGGTTCACCCTAACCCGGGGTAGTAGCACCTGTTAGGGTCCCAACTATGGGAAAATAGTTAACCCTCAAACTGGGGTCAAAACATTATGAAAGTATAAAAACACATTTCCATAGTAAAAATACCGCGATACATTTTTGGAAAACAAATTGAAAGGAAAAAATTACCAGCAATATATTTTTGAACACTTTTTGTAAATGAAATTACTAATGCTGAGAACATTAGTGAATTCATTTACAAAAATGTATTGCAGTAATTTTTTTTTCTGAAAATTAAATTTTCGGCATTAACACTTAATACGCAGCTAAATAAATTATTATTATTATTATTATTATTTCTAATCTTTTCCTACCAGATTTGCTACCCATTAAACACCAACCTAGCAACATCTTAATCCATAATCTTCTTGCAGTGTATCGCATTTAATCTTATTTGTTCATTTAAAATATCTCTTGCACGGTACTTTGATCTATGCTGACCTCTTTTTATCTCTTAGAATTTCTCGCGCTACTGATTTTTGCGTTGATCTCAAGTTTTCTTTCTTACTTCGAGTTAAATCGTTATGGTATAAAGATACTTTGAATGTGTATGGACCTGAAACCAATTGTACTACCTACGGCATTAAACTGTATTTAATGTTGAAAGAATTCAATTATTTTCTCTCATAATTAACCATAATTAACTATAATTAATTTGTGTGTGTGTCTCTCTCTCTTAGAGTATTCATCTCACAATGTGTGTGTGTGTATATATATATATATATATATATATATATATATATATATACACAGAGTGTTTTGGGTAATATGTCGTTATTTTATATTTTTAATTTCGCGCATGCGCGTTGTTAGTGTTTTATTCTGTATAGTAGGGTCAGTTGGGCACCGTCTGTGAGAAAAAGAGCACCATGACGCAATTTAATACGCCAGAAAATTGGAAACAGCATGCTATACTGCTTGGCATTCACACCGGAAATTCCAATACGAACATTTCAGAGTGTTTTGGAGTCAATCTGGGGACAGTGCAGAGTATTTGGAAAGAGTCGGATCAGACTAATGGTGATTAAGACGGAGTTTGGAGTGATCACTAGTTATGGCGACGTTATGCCTCCATTCATCTTCCTACATGGCCTCAACACGGAGGCCTACATCAAGTGCCTTGAGGAAGTAGTACTGCCCTGGGCCAATAGGGTGGCTACTGGACGATCCTATGTCTGACATCAGGACTCTGCATCATGCCACACAAGCAGGAGAACCCAGTCATGGCTGTCAGACAATTTCTGAGACCAGATCACCCCTTGCATCTGCCACCTAACTCCCCAGACTCTAACCCTCATGACTATTAAGTGTGAGGCGCAGTTGAGCGAGAGACCAACAAAAATCCTTGTAATACCAAAGATGAACTGAAAGCAAGGATTATGGCAGCATATATATATATATATATATATATATATATATATATATATATATATATATATATATATATTCTGTTTATATGTTATTTTTGTCAGACAATCCATTACATAATATCTTTATATAGATTATAGGAGTTTTAGGTCTATTGCTTATTTTATATACTTTATAATGTAATATGTTTAAACATATTACATTATAAAGAGATTTTATATTTTATCTTTATATATATTTTTTCAGAATATCAAAATAGTTTTTATAAATTATTTATGGAGTATCTCATGGATAATTATATATTAAAGCACACACACACACACACATACGCACACACACTCACATACGCGCACACACACATATATAAGTTTATTTAAGAATAGATCTCTTTTACGTTAAATTTGAAATCTTTTGCTAAGTTCTGAATATTTTTTAGAATGATCTTAACCATCTACCATTTTTTGTATAAATTATAAAAGTCTTTTTAAATTGAATGTTGACCGAAGAAAGATTCAAAGAGAATTCCGATTTTACGCTAAAAATTTTTTCAACTCTCATTGACTCCCCAGTACTTTGATTTACTCTTTCCTTTCCTTATTTTTTTTCTCTCAACTGTCATTTTATGTAACAAGTTATGTCCACAATCCGTATGTTAAATTAGGTCACCACGGGTCCTAATGTCAGTTAATACAGCTAAGACGAACTCTTCTTGTCTCGCTGTCAATTCAGTTATTTTTTCTTTCACCAATTTCTCCTGTATACATACAATCTCATTTCTCCCCTCTTCTTACACGATCATGAATTTACATCTTTCTTTCTCCCACTCTCTCAATATGAGATCAATATATTTAAGGAAAATTTATTTTTAAACTAGGAGTGATTTTTTTTCATTTCTATTTGGATTGCAGGTCTGAAGAGTTGAGGTTATTTTTATCAACCTCAATGAAATAAATATCACATTATGGTGTTTTAAGTGTTTATATTTCATTATTTACTAATTATTGCTCTGTTTCTGACATAGAGCCTCACTAGATCTATAATTACCAATAGTTTTTTATATATATATATATATATATATATATATATATATATATATATATATATATATATATAAATGAAATAGATTAATGTCCTCTTTGAATTATCTTTACCAATTGCAAATTGGTATTTTTATATATATATATATATATATATATATATATATATATATATATATATATATGAAAATTTCTCAGAGTTAACCTGTAGAAAAGACAATATTTATGAATATATTCTGATTACTGAATGTGTTCTATATCAGCAGAAAAGCCAGAAAACACGATGTTTGTATCCATATTTGCGACCTGCACTCTCCAACACTACATAACCGTTAATAAATAGCTCATTCTTAAGAACATCTTTCGATCCGAAAAACACATTTATTTCGTCTTACAGTTTTGATTCTAAAGGAAAAAATACAGCCCGAAGATGAATGCGTGAAGCATTTGAAAGTACTAGCTGAATTAAAAAATACACCATATCCATTTTATACATAAGGATCTCATCATTCAGTGGATTATTAGTAATATAATGCTTATAATTATGTCTACTAGCGAAGGGATTTCGCCAATAATTGCATTAATACTGCTAATTGATTCAAGGTATGATTAACTTTTTGTAATATTTGTATATATATATATATATATGTGTGTGTGTGTGTGTGTGTGTCTGCGTGCGTGTGTCTGCGTGCGTGTGTGTGTAAAGAGAGAGAGAGAGAGAGAGAGAGAGAGAGAGAGAGAGAGAAGCCAGGCATGAGCGAAAAGTCCTGTATACTCATTGGAAAACCGTTTCATTTTTAAAAAAATAAAAAAACGACGCTGAAAATTCTGCACACTTTTTATTTATATATATATAACGCTTGTAACATTAACATGCACGTCAGATCCTCTTCTTAAGGATTTTCACACACACACACACACGCACACACACACACACACACACACACATATATATATGCACGCGCACATATGTTTTCATTTTTTCCATACAATGTCGTTTCAGGAATTGCAACACTTAATGTAGTGGTTTCCCGTTGCCTTCTCAACAATTTGGAATCTAGAGTTTTCCTTTTTTACAACTGATTGCCACCGAGACATCAAGTTTACCCAGCAATTTAACTCTTAGCTGGTCGGGAGAAGAAACTGGTTCATGCCTTTCCCAAAGACATTTGTGCAAAAACATGAACGAATCCTGCCGAATGAGAACTCTTACGTGATGCGACGTTTGGGATGGTCTTTCCTTACTGCAAATAGGAATATGTGTAGGTGCTGCATGTGTGCCGCATCTGAGTCAATGAATGAAAATCCTTAAGAAGAGGATCTGACGTGCATGTTAACCTTACAAGCGTTATAAATACGAAAAGGTGTGGAGAAAAGAGAAAAAGAGTAAAGAAAAACATTAGAAGATCGAATGACAGAAGAAAGAAAAATATGAAAAAAAAAAAAAAGTAGAGGACAATAAATATTAAGTAGTTAGTAGTATGATGAGCAGGAAAAAAATGAAAGAAAAATAAAGAGAGAGAATATAAAGTAAAAAGAAAACGAAATGGTGGCAGAAAATAACGTAGAAAGAAAGAAAGAAAGAAAGAAAGAAAGAAAGAAAGAAAGAAAGAAAGCAAAAGCCGGGAAAAAGTCTTTCGAAAAGAATAAATATGTAAAAACAAACAAAAAAAAAAAAAAAAGAGTAGCGAAACAAAAGATAAATAAAAAACTAAAAACTAAACAACATCCGAATTACAACATTTTTTATCCGAAAAATATTTTTTGGAAACTAAATTAAATTTATTATTGTACATCTCACTTAAAAATGCAGAGTATCCCTCATTCCATATTATATTATTTACGGTGAGTTAAGTTTGTTTTCTTTTATCAAACTATATTTTAATTTGGTTAAGTTTAAAAAATGAATTAAAAAATATCGTACAATATAATAATACAAGTCTTTCTTTCTTTCTTTCTCCCGATTGGATAAAGGAAGACGTAAACACTGAGCTGCTACCCCGACTTCTTTAGATAAGAAGCCCATTCGCTTGCTCTGAATTTATTAAGCGTGCTTAGTGTACATCTTACCCTCCGACTAAAACCTTTGCTCTGAGCAGCGACGTTCTCATTTATAAACACAAACACATTGACTATAACGTTCCTTCTCGCAAGATAGAAAGCCTTGCAGTGATGCTACCTACCAAGCTGTTTTTGATTTTACTAAGTTGTGTAGTTTTGGGAGCCGTGGCTAAGTTACAGCCTGAAGACTCAAAGAATTACATTTTCGGACAAAATGCCCTGTTAATAATTGCATTGGCTATCCCATTTTGTTTATGTCTGTTGCAAAGCAAGGAGTTTGTGAAAGCCGACAACAAAGCCGTGGTCATTACAGGTAATTTTTAATATTTTTTTTTTATGTTTGTGTGGAATAATTTGGGCTATCGTAAAACTTGTTTCTTCATCTCAGAGCTTTAAAAAATATCGGACAATATTAAATTAAAAAATAATAATAAATTTAAATAAATATTTCATATTTTTCTCTTTAACAGGTTTGTTTTGTTTCTAAACAAAATTATGGGGTTTTTTATGTTGCCTTATTACAACCACGTTTTAAATTTTAAAGTCACTAGAAGATTGTTTACGAACAATAAAAATGACTTATTCTTTCAATATAAACTTTGTACTCGAGTTTCTTATTATATTTAGCTTCCATTTCCGCGTTCAAAACGTATTCCACATGCCAAATACTTAATTATCTCCCTTAGATTGGTTTACCTCGTTTCATATTCTAAACCCAAATTTATTTTTTCATAAATAAAGATGACTTTCACCAGTAAGACTTAATTTAAAAAAAAAAATTCCCCACTTTCATATTCTGAGAACACATATTTTGTGTAAAATTCTGTAACCGTAAAATTTTGTATAATGAAATTAAATAATTAAAATAATAAAAGTTTTTGACTGTTTTACATAAATTCGATCGCATTCGGGCGCTATTTTTCATTATTTCTAATGCAAATTTTTTTGGATCCGGAGAAAATAGGTTCGAACTTATTATCTACAAATTTTTACTTTTCACAAAAGTCGAATTATCGCTAATTTTTATTTATTTATGAAATAAATATATTCCTCAGAATATGAGGCTAGGTAAACATATGTGGGAGGTAATTCAATATTTGGGACACGAAAAATATTTCAGATGCTAAAGAGGAAGATAACTAATTTTTAATTTTATCCCAGTATCGATAATTGTTATCTCTAGAATTATTAATTAGAATCTTGTATTTGTGAAAATAGAAAGCGTACAAATCCTCACCCTGATCACCGCGCAAATTATATATATATATATATATATATATATATATATATATATATATAGAGAGAGAGAGAGAGATAGATAGATGGATATTGAAATCCGAACAAGTGGAGAAATTACAGTGGAACACCATTTTTTATTGACAACGCGTTTCGCTAGGTAGGCGTCTTCAAGTTTGAATGGAACGCCCAGAGATTTGTCGTTCATTCTGACCTGAAGACGCCGAAATGTCTTCCACTTCGTCTGAACATTATATATATATATATGGTGGTTTCCTACTCACTGCACGAGAACCACCACCAAACAAACCGCAGGTGGTTTCCCCCTTTAACCAACACCGGAAGCCCAATGATACCTGAGCAATTGTTTATTTTCATTCATATCTTTCGCAACATTATGCTGACACTGAGCATCAAACAGACTTGATCAAATAACAAGAAACCAATTAAAATAATTGGAGAATTTGCCACATACGATTCCAGAAAAACAGAAAACTGGAAAAACTAAATAAACAATAAATTAAATTCCCCTTGCCATATATATATATATATATATGAGATAACGATATATATTTTATATATCAGGAACATTATTGGGGAAAAATCTGTGACAAAGTGGAAAAAGTTTTATTGTCACGCGGCTTCGTCCTTATGTGTGTGTGTTGTTTTCCATGTCTACATTGTTTACATCTAGAAACGCTCAATGATTACTGAGCAGTTTACCTATAAATATAGTAATTGTTAAATATATATATATATATATATATATATATATATATATATATATATATATATATATATAATTCTCAGCATCGCCCTCCTTCGTACGTAAACATCAACGTAAACATCATTTTGGTCCAATGAAAGCCTTATGGATGAAGCGCGTCACACAAAATCTTTTTCTACTTTGTTATCAATTTCCTTAATATATATATATATATATATATATATATATATATGGTGAGGCAGAAATACCTCACATATAATCATAAGATATTAGTGGCAATAGTGTTTTCATCACTAATGTTTTACCATATATATATATATATATATATATATATCGATTTCATAGAAAATATTCGTCCTCCGAATGAAAATTTCTCGGATATTCAGGCCAGTAAATGTTATAAATACTGTTTTTATTATAAAACAGAGCATTTACTTAAATATTTGTATCTATAAAAAAGAATGTATAATCATAAAATGTCTTTAAAATAATTGTCGGACTTTGTCCATTTCATAATATATATATATATATATATATATATATATATATATATATATATATATATATATATATATGTATTCTGAGGAATATATTTATTTCATAAATAAATAAAATTTAGTGATAATTCGACTTTTGTGAAAAGTAAAAATTTCTGGATAATAAGTTCGAACCTATTTTTTCCGGATCCGAAAAAAATTGCATTAGAAATAAAATGAAAAACAGTGCATTTCGTTTGCGTAAATTATATTTATTTTTTATCAAATCATCATTTTCCAGGTCAAGACTCTAATTATGAATGTTCCAGTTACACCCAAGTGCATAGAATGTGTGAAATTTTAAGTTTCTTTTATGTTCGTATATATATATATATATATACGAGGATCGGCTGAAAAGTTCATAGTCTGATCAAGATATATAAATGTAAGTAGACACACCAGTTGGTAGATTATAAGACATAAAAGTGTATCAGAATACAACAGTTCTGGTACGTTAGTATGTCTTTTAGTCTACCAACTGGTCTGTCTTGGTCAACCTATAAACCTTTCAGCTGACCCTCGTGTGTGTATATATATATATATATATATTGCGGGAGGAGTAGAGGGCATTGTTTATATTCTATCATATTCTGTCTCTCTCTTGCATTCCCTTCATATATATATATATATATATATATATATATATATATATATATATACAGAATAAGTATACTTTATTGTGTTTATAGTAAAAATAAAGTGATCCTTTGTATGGAATGAAATGCAGCACAGTAATTTTTAAAATGTCGAAATCATTTAAGGCTGCCAGCATTTCCCCCATAATGACATTTTATCATTTTCTAACGATATGGAAACATACAAGCTTGTGCTGACAACTTATTGAGCGACCAAAAAGGCATCCCAAAATACATTGTTATTGTCATATTTGGTGTAGTAAGTCGGTTTGAGAATTTTTCAGCAACTCCTTGGATATCTCTCTCTGATTTAAATACAAAGTTAAAAGGACTTATTCCAGTTGATACTGTACATAGTCATTAGAAAATAGATTTCATTTTGTGGATATGATTTTAAAAATAGATATGGTTTCTATAACGCACACACGCACGCACATACACACATATATTCTTTCTCCTTTATTTCTTTTACTACCGTCTGTACTCGTTCCTGTACGTTCATTTCTGTGTCATATGCATGTTAAGATTGTGACCAACTTTTGGACTTTAATTCTCTTTGAATGAATCCGGTGAGAAAACCCATCTTTGTCTTACGACTATTTCTATTTTTGCATATTTACTGAATTCATTTTCTCTTCCTATGCAGACATCTTGCATTCTAATATCTCTCCCAAATAAATCAAGCTTACCTAGACGTTCGAATAGTTCTTTGGGTCGTATGTTTTCGAACGCATTGGCATAATTTATAAACATAGGTCTACATCTATCTGCATTTGTATTGCTCTTTTTGATATCATTCTCAGCATAAATCTAGCATTCCTTGATCCAGTATAATGAAACCGCCCTGTTCATGTCCTATTTCTGGTCTAATTCCACTACGTGTTCTGTTCATCAGAGTTTGGGTGATAAGTGGCTCGTTAGGCTGATTGTTCGATGGATCTCGCATTCGCTTGTACTCTGCTTCTTAGGCGGCCCTATGAAACGGTTTTTCGGTATCTCACCACTGTCGTATATTTCATTTATTATTTCTGTAATTTTTAAAATGCCGAAATCATTTAAGGCTACCAGCATTTCTATTACAATTCCATCTTGACCTGCTCTCTTTTTTTTTGTTTAATGTGGCCATTTCAGATTTTAATATTTCTGGTCCTTCTATATTTTTGTGCATTGCAGATTTTTCTCTTTTGTTTTGGAAGAATTCTCTGATGTATTCATCCCATCTTTGAAATATTTTTCTTTCTCTATTATCAATGTTTCCTCTTTTGATTTTATGCATCCTGTAGATTTCATTCTTTTATGCATAGTTGCTCATCTGATGCTCCATTTTTCTATTTACGCATGCTTTTCGTTGAGTCATTCCTCCTTTGCTAGCCTGCATTTGTTTCTAATTTCCTTGAGTAATGTCATATATTCTGTATCATGCCTTGGTATTATTTAATGTCTCCTTTTCATTATGTCGAGAATTTCATCTGTCATCCACTCCTTTTTTCTGTCTCGTTTGCTGATGTCAGTAAAACTTCTCTTATTGTATACCACTTTAAATTTCTATTCTCATTTAGTTGTATTTACTTTTAACGCTCTTAGTATATATCTCTTTCAAATTCGGATCAATCAAGAGTCAGTCGTATTGCAATTTGGGTGCTACGTTGTTCCTCTTCAGCTTGCGTAGTTTTACTCTAAGATTACATATTACTGGAAGATGGTCGCTCTTGTAGACGACACGTGTGTTTTACAGTGTCAGACGGCATTCCCGAATCTCTCATTGATGTACCCAACTTGGTTCTTTGTTTCTCTTCTTGGGCTTCTTCAGGTCCATAAACGTCTTGGGTGATCTTGAAACCAGGTATTTGCGACTACCTGCTCGTTAGCCGTACACCATTGGACCATTTTTTCATCCACGTTCTTTACGTGTTCCTAGTGCGAATTTCTCAAATATTTCACTATTTTGCCCCTTCCCTACTTTGCCATTCAGGTCTCCCATGACGATTGTAATTTCCTACGATTTCCATTGAGGCTTGGTAATGTGCATTGTGTAAAAATTTTCAATTACTTCCTCTGTCCTGCCGATCCATATATAACTACAATGGATGTATTAAAAGGTCTTTTACTTTAACTATAAGAATCCTATAAGATAATTGACAGTATCTCATAATATATTTTTTCATGTCTTGCTCTAATA